TCCAGAAGTCAATGTGGACCGGATAAAAAGGGGGTGCGATGATTGATATAAACCATGGTGGCTTGTCATCTGGCGATGAGTTGTGGTTATCAGAGGTGTAGCACGTATGTCGCTGGTGCGATTGCGGGACGGACTGCGGCCGTCAGGACACATAATCTGGGGGCCGGTTTTGTACGCGCGAATATGGTCGTCGTGTATGGAAAAATCGGTGGCACGGCGGGCAGAAACATACATCGAATCGATATAGTCTAGAGCGAGCTAGTACGCTGGTGCGTATTATGCCGGCTCGCGGTTGATGATCGGAGACCAGGGTACGGGTCATCTGGAGATGAGACGTGGTGGTCAGGAGTCTCTGGTGCGGCTGGGATACAGTATGCGGTCGTTAAGATACATATGCGTACTGAAGGTTACTCGAATCGGTTTGCACGTACGGCTATGGGTCGTTGGCACGGAATAATCGGTCGAGACAAAACAATCGATATAGAGCGTGCTAGTACGCTGGTGCGTACGATGTCGGCTCACGGTTATCGATCGTAGACCAGGGTCCGGGTCATCTGGAGATGAGCCGTGGTGGTCAGGAGTCGCTGGTGCGGCTAGAATACAGTATGCGGTCGTCATGATACGTAGAATATGCATACTGAAGTTGCTCGAATTGGTTGCCTGTACGACTGTGGCTCGTTGGCACGGAATGATCGGTCGAGACAAAAAACACAAAGCGATATATACAGCTGGTAAGGGTACCACACTTCATATACCGCTGGTTACGCTAGAGCCTTCTGATGCAGTTCATCTGGTGATGAGACGTGCTGGTCAGGAGTGGCGTGTAGGTCGCTGGTGCGGCTGGGATACTGTATGCGGTCGTTATGATACATACGCATACTGCATGTTACTCGAACCGGTTTGCACGTATGACTGGGGTCGTTGGCACGGAAGAATCGGTAGAGAGAACAAAAGACACAACGCGATATATTCAGCTGGTAATGGTACCGCACTGCATATACCACTGGTTACGCTAGAGCCTTCTGATGCGGTTCATCTGGTGATGAGACGTGGTGGTCAGGAGTAGCGTGTAGGTCGCTGGTGCGGCTGGGATACGGTTGGCATACGCATCATTATTTTAAGTTCCCGATGTATATTGTCCCCCTTGTTCATCATGATCAGGAAATTGATCGGTATATCGGCGGCAAGTCGGCCGGGGGCGGAGATATGAGCGGGGACAAGAACTCCTCCGACGAGTCTATGATCGGCCGCGACGAGTACGAGGCGGAGCGGCAGGACAGAGCTAATGAGCGAGCCGTCATCAGCGCCTCGGTGGAGGACCTGAAGGCCGAAATGGCGGCGAGGTTCGCGGAGGTGCTGGCAGCCGTGCGTGATCGGGGCGGCGGGGCCGCCGCGGGTGGCGCTGCCGGANAAGTCGGCCGGGGGCGGAGATATGAGCGGGGACGAGAACTCCTCCGACGAGTCTATGATCGGCCGCGACGAGTACGAGGCGGAGCGGCAGGACAGCGCTAATGAGCGAGCCGTCATCAGCGCCTCGGTGGAGGACCTGAAGGCCGAAATGGCGGCGAGGTTCGCGGAGGTGCTGGCAGCCGTGCGTGATCGGGGCTGCGGGGCCGCCGCGGGTGGCGCTGCCAGAGCTGCACCAGTGCCCGGGTATGGGGGCGCGCGTGCAGCTGCCGGCGTGGCGCCGGCGCCCATGTATGGGGGCGCGAGCGCGGGTTACGGGCTCCACCGCGTGGAGTCGAGTCCCGGGTTGCTGCAGGGCGCTGGTCGGTATGGCAGTGGGGGCGGCTTAGGCTTCACTCCCGCGATTTCGTCCCCGTTTGGAGCGGGAGGCCTTAACATCGACTCCGGGGGAAACGGGATGGGAACGGGGATGTCGCACGCCCAGCGGCGGATGGAAAAGGTGATCTCGGACCAGCGGGTGAACGCTTGGAGCTCGGTGAACAGCCGCATGTGGTGGGTGGTGATGGGATGTTTTCCGCCGAAGTTAGAGAAGCCGAGCCTGCAAGGGTTAATTCATGATCCTATTGAGGTCACGGACGAGGTAGCCGGCATGCTCTTGAACTTTCGTGGCTTTGACCCTGCTGCATTCGCGCCCCGGGGGGCGGGTGGCGAACGTATCCCCATCGCAACGCATTTCGGCCTAATGGCGGGGGCTTTTATCACCATCGCCCGCCGGGGGATCGCCGACGAACCGAGGTTGGCGGCGGCATCGAAAGCGCAAGTGGATCGTTTCGAAGCCTCGTTCCAGGCGGCCATCGCCGACGTGGAGCGGCTCGCTCGGGAGAATTACGCGGCCATCCAAGTGCCGCACAACCGCGACATCGTTTTGACGTTCATCGTCAAAGATATGGAATTTTACAC